AAGACAAAGAAAGTGAAATACAGAATTTATCAGGTAGTCTTTACCGTATTTTTTATTTTCTTTAAGTTTTCTCCAAAATGCTTAAAATGGAAATAGACTTGTCCTTGTTAAAATTTGCTTAGTTTATTATGTCCAGACAGTAATATGACAAATTCATTTGGGACATATCTTGGCCTAAAGTAAATAAAGCTGTAGGTTCAGAGAGAAGTGAGAATTTGATATCTTCTGAAAAATTTTATTTTATTTTGTGTGGGATTTTCTCCATTCAGTATTTGCTATAGAAAGCTGTTCATTTGCTGGAGATGGCAGAGAGGCTTTATCTTCTGTAAAGGTTCTAAGTTATTGATAGTGGCTACTGGGAATTCTTTGTAGATAAAAAATGAAACCCAAGTTTGAACAGTGATATGTCATGGGCACAGATTTAGGAGTGGTGATATGCACACCAGTTACTGCCAAGTCAACTATGCTTTCTTAATCTAGTGCCTAGACTGTAATCTATTCTAGACCCTTTGTCTATTTTGTGACATGAAAATTAAAATTGTCAACACATTTGTATTGATTTATTATTTGAAATTATAGAATTACAACTAATAACCTATATTTTAAATATGATCCTCCATAATACTATGATGCTATCTTCTTAAATATGCAAATTTCTTGCTAGTACCTGTCCATATGCCAGTATTTAACCCATTGTATATGTATCATTTTCTGTGTTGCATTTTCATATAAATTTATGTCATGAGCATTTCCATTTTGCTAAATAGTTTACCAAATAATTTTTTAAATGACTAATTTTCTATTTTCTGATTGGTTTTTTTGTTACTAGATAGGCCCATCTAAAGAAATTTTAGGATGGTTTTACTAACCAAAGTGTATAAACTTTTCCTTCAGTGTTTATACTTCAGTTGGTCTGAAAATCAATGATGTTTTATTAAAGTATTTAAAGGAAAAATAACATTTTATACAATTTAGGTGAATTAATTCTCTCAAGTACATATATGTTTATATTTATATATTATATATAACAAGTACACATATATATTTATATTTATATAGAGATATATACAAACACACATATATGTTTATGCTTTTAAGTATCATGATCATCAGTGAGACAAATCACATTTTCAAAGTTAATAAGAACTCTGTATAAAACAAATACAACATCTGCATTTATAGATGTTCTATTTGCCTTCAACTCTTATCCATTCTTCAGGCAACTACCAGATTGATCTGAACAAACCCTTAGCATACAGAACCCCCAGGTTTAAAATATATTTAGATAATTCTTTATTCCAATCCAAGCCTGGGAGTCCCAACCTTCTATAATCCAGTATGAAGCCTTTGCTTTGCTCCCACCTGGTCCCACTACTTTGCATTAATTATCCACTTCTGGTGAACAGGCCTATTCACTGTACCACAAACACTTGATGTCCACTCTTTTTCACTGCCTCTGCTTATGCTGCTTTTCTTGTCTTGAAATCTTCACTGTTTTACAAGGCTCATAGAAATCCTACTTGTGCTTGAAGTATCTGCTCCTCCAGGAGATTTTCCCTGACTAACCTAAACTTTAGAAACTACTCTCTTTTCTTGTTTGCCTCACTGGCAACTTAACTTCTGTTGCTTTTTACTACTTACCTTTTATTATTTACTATTTTCTTTTACTAGATCACAGTGTTTTCAAGGATAAAAATACAGTAACAACTAAAATCTCAACCAAACCAAACCAAAACAAAACAAAAAACCCTGTACAATACCTTGCATTGATCCATGATAAATTAGTGACTTGTCGTCAATGTACCCCAAACTCCCAAGTAAGATCAACGATTATACTTCCTGACACAAACTGTCAACAAATTTTCTTCAACCAGTATGAGTGTGTCTCAAGCTTTGTGGACCATCATTCTTCTACATGAAATGGATTGAAATATTTCCTGCACAAGTGCTGTAGTTGCCTCTCTGTTCGGTATTCTGTTATGGCACTCTGGAGAATGTTTGTTTTTCACCGCCAGAAGCTGAATAGAGAACCATCTATGTTTTCTTCCTTGCTTTGTAATGAGACCATTTTCAGTAAAATGACAGCATTCTCAGACAGCTGAACTGCTGTTATGGTGGCAATGGGCTAACATCACCCACACCAACTATAACCATCAGCTAGGTAGCAGCAGTGGTTATGCCAAATATGGATAAAATTTACTGAAATTAACATAACTTAAATATATTGCCAACAATTTAAGGTTTAACAATTATTTTGAGACCTGATATTTCTCGGTGGAATTTTCCCTGACCTTTATATTTCTTACCTGTGAAATGAATGTTGATTTCTTCTTTTGCTTATTTACATTGACCCACAGACAATCTGTGGGTTGACATTGGACAGTAATGTAGACTTTGTATGACTGCAGCTGAAACTGAATGACTCTGGACACAAATTTATCAGGGAATGCTTGCATAATCTTTTCAGAAAAGGATTTGACTTTTGGATATCACACCTGTGAAACACCTTCCACTTTTGTCTCTGAACCAGCATTTTTGGTGGAAATTTGCAGGGCATGGGAAGGAGGTACTCAAATAATCACTTGTAAAAATGAAAGGCATTTTTTTATTTTAGTCAGTGTTCCTTTTTTCCCTCTATCTGAATGTTGAATAATATTTAATTGAAAATCTTTTACTATGCCAATTCTTTGAGCATTTTCTCTATACATCATTCTGGCAAGGAGCATAGATAGTGCGTTGAAAAATAGAAAACCAATTGTAGCTCTGGGCCATAGTTTATTATTGACTAGTATAATGAAGGGGTTAAAATAGATCTCTCAGGTTATTTTCTTGTCTACTATCATTGTGATGAAACATTTAAATATGGACAAGCTTTCACTGTGAAATATAATAGAATCATCACTAAAAGGAGGAATCTGGCTATATTCCGTACACTATACTTAGGTGTATATAAAAATACTACATTAGCATTTTTATTTGATAACCTTGCCATGGTAGTATCTCGTATAAGTTATCAAAGCTATGATGTGTCAGCCTTTGTAGTTTAATATATAATGAAAATGGTTTTAGTGATGTGAGTTGCATTTTGAGGGAAGAGGTGAAGAAATTAATAATTTTCTTGTAGAGCAAAATAGCCAAGGGACTTACAGCATCTGGTGTCCTTGTTAGTAACCAGAGACCTTAAGTTAGATACATCCACATATGAGGTCCACAGTTTATATGTTACCTAATTACATAATTATTGTATCATTTCATATTATTGTGTTTGATCAATTGGACTATGGATAGAAAAATCATCAAAACTAACAATATTAAAAGCATTTTGCATAGTGACACCAAATATTTAAACTGCATAAAAGAAATGAATATGTAAGAAACTTTATTTTTATATAGTTTTTGAGGCTGATTTATGGTTATTTCCAATGGTAGCATGGACTAACTGGTTTTCATTACTTAATTGGAAAAACAAAACAGAAAACTTGGAAAGGAGATGAACACAGCAGATATTGGAAAATAATGTGCTATAAATTATATTTATAAATGAACATTTCAGCAGTTTCTTTAGTGTTTATAATTTTGGCCTCATACGGCTGAAAGTAAACTGGCTAATGTTTGCCTTACAGTGTGCAGGATGTCTCCCATGTAAGTATGGGCATAGATGTTTTACTGTTTCTGTGTGGTAGAGGAGAGAGGTGATGTATTATTTTAAAAATAAAAAATATTCACACATATATTAAAGGCTTATTTGCTATAACAATCCGTTGACCCCTTTCTCAAATAATATTTGCATGTTGTACATATTTTTTGCAATGATAGAATCATCATGCCTTGACCTAGGGGTATAGACCTAATTTCTGAAAGATTCCAAATTCAGTCCTTTCTACTGTTTTCTTCACATTGTCAAATGGTAAAGCAGAGAATGATAGAAGCATGATAACAACACCTGGGCTATATTTGTGTAGTAGTCCAAGTTTTTCGAGTGAGAGAAACAAGGGAGGGAGAGGGTAAGCTGTTCACTTGAGGTCATGCAGCTGCTAGGTGGCAGAATCAGGATCTTGTCTGATTTGTCTGACTTCAATTACAGTGCCTTTTCTGCTACTCTGTGTGGAATGTCTTCGTGGGACTCATAGTTTGACAAATTTCAGTATTTTAATGAAACATCCTATTTGCCTGATTTATTATCCAGTGAATTGACCAGTTTGGGGTTTTTGTATTGACCTAACCTACTTTTATAAATTCAGAGCAAAAGCCACATTCAGCTCTACACTTATCTAAATTGATTGCGTATTCTAGTCAAACTCCTAAACTACCACTTCAATCTTCTGCTAAGTATTTGACTTCGACCTGATCTAAGTAATTCACTATTCTTTATCAGTTTGGAATGATTAATGGATAGACAAACCCAAAAGGGTGATTTGGTAAACTGTGTCCCAGCTTAATTGTTTTATTGTATATCACTTTCTAAGAGACTGTTAGAATTTATAAACTACATGGAAACATTTATTTCTTCAGGTATAAACTGACGGAAGGTAAGATGTTCCTGTGATGGAAAATTGCCAAATGTTTCTTGAACCTATTGCAAAGTTTATGTTCCTGTTAGTTCTTGAGTCATATTTCTGAATCAAGGCCTCTGAATATTCTATATAAGTATATAAAATAATGGACAATATTTTTCAAGGTTCTGTATGCAATATGTATAGAATTTATTGAGTCATCGTTCAGTCAGTTAATAAAAATATACTTAGAGCCTACTATGTGTGGTGAAAAAACTCTATCTAATATCTGTGTTAAAGAATGTCACAGAACAGGAAATTGATCAATCCACACTGTGTAATTCATCTGTAAGGAATAGATTTATTGCTCTAATATCACAAGAAACATATCCTCACAATTCAGTAAGAGATCTCTGAAGTGAGCTAATAAGACACAGTTCTCATTTTCTCAATGAAACGGTGGAGTGCATTGGTTGTGGCATCCATGCGGCCTCCCCAGCAGATGCAGAGATGCAGATCTTTGTGAAGACCCTGACTGGCAAGACCATCACCCTTGAGGCTGAGCCCAGTGACACCGTTGAGAATGTCAAAGCTAAAATCCAAGACAAGGAGGGCATCCTGCCTGACCAGTAGTGACTGATTTTTGCAGGCAAACAGCTGGAAGATGGCTGCACTCTCTCAGACTACAACATTCAGAAAGAGTCCACCCTGCACTTGGTGCTTCGTCTGCATGGTGGCATCATCGAGCCCTCCCTCTGCCAGCTTGCCCAGAAGTACAACTGTGACAAGATGATCTGCCGCAAGTGTTATGCCCATCTGCACCCCCGCGTTGCCAACTGCTGCAAGAAATGTGGCCACACCAACAACCTGTGCTCCAAGAAAAAGTTAAATAAGGCCCCTCCATCATCTCCTCTGGCTTACAGGGTGGTCTTCTGCCTAATCCCTATGACCCTGGGCCTCAATAAAGTTTCACTTTCATTGACTGGAGCAGACCAAAATAAATAAATAAATAAATAAAGACAATTCTCTTGTACAAACCTAGTAGGCAACTTTAGGTTTTGTTATGTCCAACAACATATCACCTACTTCACTTTTAACAAACAACTTAATTGTGTGTGTGTTCATCTCTGGCCAAAAAATAAAAAAAAATAAAATAACAATGGGCTGTTGTTTGTCTGGCTGCCTGGTTATCTTAAAAAGTTTTGGTTATATGGTCTTCTGTTTTTGACAAAGTGAAAATAAGTCCTTTTTTAAACATATTTTTGAATTCCTCTTTAGCTTAGCCAGCTGGGCTTTAGAAAAAGTTTTCTGGACTAGAAATAAATGTTTGCTTACACTCTCCCCTTTTCTGGTCTGTTGTAAGAAGTCTACTGCCAGTCTCATTCATTTCACAGTGTTCACTATTGACCCCCAAACATTTGTTTTATAGAAATCAGTAATAATCACAAGTATTTTATTCAAGAGATTGAAGTATGGTGCAGTGGCAAGTGTTTGGAAATGGAAGTCAGACTAACTTCTAGTTACTCTCCTAACACAACTAACGTGAATTAGCTGTTCAATTAAGCTTTTCTGGCTCTCAGTTTCTTTAACTATAAAATGAGGAGGTTGAATGACAAACTAGATAAAATCTAGCAAGTTATAATATTTAACTTCTCTTTGTATCACTGCCTTTGTGTATAAAACAAAAGTAATATTACCAACTTCAAGGGTTGTGAGGAGTAAATAGAATACACTTCCAGTGACTATGGAAAGTCCCAAATACCCCCCTAACATTCCTACAAACTTATGGGACTTTTCTTGGCCCACTGTGGCTTTGATAGATTGTTTCCACTGAATTAATTCAAGTCAGGGTTTGTTTCATTGTCCTATGTGTGTTGTCCCCATTTCATGACATAAGCATCTTATATGTGAAATTCAGCCCTTCTCCTTGATTTCTCCAAATGAACAAAGAGCGCACACACACACACACACACACACACCCCCATATACACACAAAACAATTGTGTATGTACATCAGATTTTACTGAAGGTTGCAAAAAGTGCAAGTATTTACCATTCAAGTGTAGAAACAACCTGAAATACTAGTTATCCACGTTCTTAAGAAAAATAAATCCATCATTTCTATAACTTGAGTTCTGTCTTCTTTTCCTTCTCTCTTGTGTTCCTGGGATCCCCGCATTCTTCTCACTGTGGAAGACAGAACAAGAATACTTTTGTCGGCCTCAGTTACAAACTCTGTAACCAGCCACCATCATATATCACTTTTAGAACCTTCGATACAAAGGCCTTCAGTTTAAGATATTCTGGCTCCTTAAAAGTAACTGCAGCCAGTCTCTGACTCCATTGTGCATGCTCACTTCCCTCAAGGGCTGTGCACTCCTAAACAATAGACATTTTATGCCATTTTTCTTTAAGTCTCAATAATTAGCACCATGCTTGTCATATATCAGCACATAACCAATTTTTATTCCTTGAATACACTATGTATACTTAGATGGTTTACAGACTCATGCTTTTATTTAAAGTGGTAGAAAACATGTATATAGCAGTTACTATGTGCCAGGCTATCATCTAAGAATTCCACATGAATCTGTGCACTTAATCTTCATGACAAACCAATGAAGTAGGTGCCTTTATTAACCCCATTTTACAGACAAGGCATCTGAGGCACAGACAGTTGGGTAACTTGTATCAGGTCACAGCTAGTATGTCCAACTTGAATTTCAACCCAGCCCATTGAGTTCTAGAGTCAATCTCTTAAATACTGGATGGTAGTTCCTCTATATGCCATAGTCAGAAAAGTTCTCACTGATCAATACAATGAAATGTTTATTATTTTACAAGCTTGATATGTCCAGCACCTGTCATGCTATTTAAAAAGGACCTTAAACATGTTGCATCCAAGTATAAATGTTTGGGTAATTGAAGGGATTTTTTTTGCAACTAAAGAATCTATCTGATTGAAGAGACCATGAACACCACATATTGCCATCCCTTTCAATTCAGCTACTGTGAATAAGTTGTCTTCCCTATGACAAGAACATTCACTTGTGTCATCTTACTAAATTTATGCAACAACCCCCTCCTTAGCTCAACAGCATTGTCAGTTTGGGAGCTGATGTTATCCTAGTGTTAATTTTACTGTCACATGGAGACAGGACCATTTCAACTTTTTCTTATGGGGCATAATATTATCAACAAGTACAAAGGTCATTGGTTTTGTTTTGAATTAGGACAAGAAAATGTAGAAAACCTGAGATTATAGTCCCATTTGAAATTGGATATTTCTTATTTTGTAGGTGTGATATCATGACCCCTGGACACAAACTGCCTAAAATGTGACTCCTATCTTTGCTTAAACTGTGGCTTAAAACTTTAAGGAAGTTATATAATATCTCTGTGCCTCAATTTCCTCAACTGAAAATGAGGCTAATAATAAGACTAACCTCATAGGGCTACTTTTAAGATTAAGAAGTTTAATGCATGTAGAGTGCTTAGGACAAGGTCTAAGAGTGTTTGTTCAATCAATAAAATATTACGCTTGCTCTCTAAAATCTTCCTAGGTAGTTATAAATTTTCAGTGGTTCCAGAATTTGTTAAATAATGATGCCATAAGTTCAGGTTCATTTTCATTAATAAAAAACAAACATATATGTTCTCTTTGGAGACATGTCCATTCAGTTTTTTGCCCATTTTTAATTGGATTGTTTGTTTTTTAGTGTTAAGTTTTATAAGTTCTTCATAAATTTTGGATATTAACCCTTATCAGATGTATCAGTGAATATGTTCTCCCATTCAGTGGGCTGTATATTCACTTTGTTGATGGTTTCCTTTGTTGTGCAAAAACTTGTGAGTTTGATGTAGTCCCATTTTTTCTCTTGTTACCCTTGCCTGAGGAAATATATCAGATAAAATATTGCTATTAGAAATGTCTGAGATTTTACTGCCTATGTTTTCTTCTAGGATTTTTAGGGTTTTGTGTCTAACACTTAAGTCTTTGATCCATTTTGACTTTATTCTTGTGTGTCATATAAGAAGGTGACCTAGTTTCATTTTTCTTCATGTATCTGTCCAATTTTCCCTACACCATTTATTGAATAAACTACCTTCAGACCATTGTATGTTTTTGCCTTATCTGTCAAATATTAATTGACTGTAAAGGCATGGGTTTATATCAGGGCTCTCTATTCTGTTTCATTGATCTATATGTCTGTTTTTATGCCAGTACCATGCTATTTTGGTTACTATGGCCTTATAGTGTAGTTTGATATCAGGTAGCATAATTCCTCCAAATTTGTTCTTCTTTCTAAAGATTGCTGTTGCTATTTGGGGTCTTTTGTGGTTCCATATACATTTTGGAATATTTGTCTAGTTCTGTGAAGTATGTTATTGGCATCTTGTAAGGAATTGCATTAAATCTATAGATTGCTTTGGGTAGTATGGACATTTTAATGATGTTAATTCTTCCTATCCATGAACATGGTATATGCTTCTCCAAGGAAGGCATACAGATAGCCCATAGACTTATGAAAAGATGCTCAACATCATCAATCATCAGAAAAATGTAAATTAAAAGCACAATGAGATATCACCTCACACCTGTCAGAATGGCTATCATCAATAAATCAACAAACAACAAGTGCTGCAGAGGATGTGGTGAAAGGGGAATCCTTTTGCACTATTGGTGGGAATGCAGATTGGTGCAGTCACTGTGGAAAACAGTATGGAATTTCCTAAAAAAAATTAAAAATGGGCCCTAGCTGGTGTGGCTCAGTAGATTGAGCACTGGCCCGTGAACCAAAGGGTCACTGGTTTGATTCCCAGTGTAGGGCACATGCCTGTGTTGCAGTCCAAGTCCCCAGTAGGGGGCATGGGAGATGCAAACATACATTGATGTTTCTCTCCCTCTCTTTCTCCCTCCTTTCCCTTCCCTAAAAATAAATAAATAAAATCTTTAAAAAAATTAAAATGGAACTGCCTTATGACCCAGTGACTCCATTTCTACCACAAAACACAAATTCAAAAAAATATATGTACCCCTATGTTCATTGCTATGTTATTTATAATAGCCAAAATTTGGAAGCAGCCCAAATGTCCATCACTAGATGAGTGGATAAAGAAAGCACTGATACATTTACAAAATGGAATACTACTCAGTCACAAAAAATTAGAAAATTTTACCCTTTGTGACAGCATGGATGGATCTGGAGAACACGATACTAAGTGAAATAATTCAGTCAGAGAAAGATAAGTACCATGTCATTATACTTATATGTGGAATATAATGAAGAAACTGAACTAATAAGCAAAATAGAAACAGACTCATAGACAACAAGATGACAGCTCTGGGGGGTTGGTGGAATGGAGACATCAAGCAAAAAAGAATAAGAACTCATGGACACTGATAACAGTGTGGTGATTGCAGTGGGGGTGTGGGTGGAGGTGGAAAAGGGTATAAAAGGGATAAATGGTAATGGAAAATACAATAAAAACAAACTACTCAAAAATAAAATAAAAATAAGAAATCATTGTTTAAAAAATAACAAAAAAACCCCTCAAACTGTTCTGATGTGTAGATTCAAATGCTAATATGTGAAGTTCTTATTTTATCTCCAAAAGAAAAGCAAATATTTTAAGATTGACAATTAGTAACAGTTGGAACAAATATAGAATTTGATATATATGAATATAATTGTATTTTTAAAATACTAATTCAAAAAAATTTTTTGTGACAGAGGAACATTTGAGGGCTAATTTAAGTAAATATTCAAAAGGGGAAAAATTAGGGGATAAAAGTCTATTTCACCAGCTGGGAAATGTCTGCAGATATAGTGAATACTTAGTCAGCAGATCTCTATTTTTGTTCAAGCAGCTTGCCAAGAAATACAGTGGCTGCAGTTTTCTCCCTTCCCTAATGTGAACTGGAGCTCAGCTAGGAATGCTGAAAATGGATGCCCATCCTTTAATGTGCCTGAGTGGGCGACGGTTAGTGTGCAGGTCAGCAG